TTTCTTGATGTTGTTTAACTTTTCATTTTGAAATAATTGTGGCTATGTCAGAACAACACAAAAGAACTTCTTCTACACCTAGCCCAGTCTCCCTGGATATTACTGTTCTGTGATCACAGCTCAGGTCTCAAAAGCAACAATCCCGTGTCAGGATGAGACAATTAACACTATCAGAGAGTATTCAGAACCCATGCAGCTGCCTCACCAATGCTTTTTTTTTTTTCTCATCCTGACTCTGCTCAAGGACCCTGCGCTGTTCAGCCTCCGCTAGGCCTGTCTGATTCTGAACACTGACAGCAGGTCCCTGTGACTGGGTTTGTCTGAGGTTCTTCTCGTGACTAAATTACGTTTGCACATTTTGGGCGTGTAGGCCACAGATCCTCCACCGTCAAGTATGTACTGTTACTGCTGAGGTTGGTGTTTGTTTTCTTTCCTGAGGGGCTAGGGCTGGGACGGAGCGCACATACCTGCCGGGCAAGTGCCCTGCTGCCGTTTGCACCCTCCGGCCTGACATTGTCTTCCACCATCAGCTTCAAGCGGAGTCAGCCAAGTTTCTCCAGTGACTAATTAGTAAAGCAGACAGTTTGAGACTAGGCAAGTCTCTCTCCAGCGGTGTTTGGTGGCTTGCCTGGTGTCTAGGGGTTAGGCAGTGCTCCTGTGTATCAGAAACTCGAAATGGTGTCTGTGTGTGTGTTGAAACCAAGGTGAGAGAAAGGGGCCCAAGTCAGGGAAGGCTTCTTGGAGAAGGGCTCAGAGCAGTAGAGGGAAGACCATCTTCTCTTGGGCAGGGAAGAGATGGCTCCAACCCACTGCCCTCTCTATTGCTCCAGATGCCCCACCCCCACCCTGCTGCTCTCCTTTCTGGGCTGCCCACCACCTAGAACTCAGAACCTGTAGCTTGACAGCAGGCAGCTAGCAGAGTTCCATCGGAGTCCCAGCCCTATACCAAGTCTAGGAAAAAGGAAAAGTGTTTGCTGAGTGACAGCCCCTCCTCAGCCACACCTGCAGGAGCTGCCCGGAGGGCAGTCTTGTTTCACCACTGCCAGCAGCCGCACAGAGTCCTGAGGCGAAGTGAGTTCAAGAAAGGATCTTTGCTTTCTCCGTGGTGCAGGTGTTTCCCATCGACACCTGCCTCCCTGCTGTAGTCCATCCCCTCTAAGAGGATTACAGATGACCACAGGGACACTTTGGGCCCTTTCTCGATTAGATTTGCCATCTGAATATGTCTTTAAGCTTATGTGTCTCTTCTTTTGTTTATGTTGTGGATTAGTTTCTTCTTTCTTGCACTTGTATTTTCAGGTAGTAATTTTTATGCTTGTTGATGTTATTAAAAAAAAAAAAGGGAAAGTAAAGTAAGTGTACACGTCCAACAAAATGAGTTGGGGGGTCTTACTTTTGAACCACAGGGTTCTCTTAGAATCTCTGAATCTAAGTTTTTCTCCCTCTCTTTTTCCTTCTCCAAATTGATAGCATATTTACCACCAAATAATAAAACACACTCAAGCAAAGAAACCACTGTGGAGGTACTGGGGGTGGGGCAGGGGGCCCTGGATTCCATCCCCAGCATGCAAAGAAGAAGGATACACTGATAGTTTCACCACCAAGAGCCACTTTCAGTGACTTTGGTCTTTTCCCTGTGGAAGTATTTAAATATGTAGTCATCTGTCTCATCAAGAAAAGGTCTGTAATCTATTTATGGGTATCTAGGTTGTATCCAATGCCCCTACCCTGCCCCCCCCCCCCCCCACACACACAGCCTAACTAGGTATGTCTCCTGTACCAGCTCTTTGCTATCACAACAGAATATGCAAAGAATTAGCACTGAGTTGATGGGCGGGCGCTTGGGTTCAAGTCTACTTCCCCTAAACTCCTTCTTGGCCTGCCCCTTACGAACATGTTGACTGGGGGTCTGTTTTCCTGGCCTACTATATCTATGACATTTTTATTTATTCTCTGTGTGTGCACTTGTGCTATAGTGCTAGGATAGAGAACAGAGGACAATTTGCAGAACTTACTTCCCTCCTTCCACTACTAGGGATCCTGGGGATCAGTTGTCAGGCTTGGGCTTCCTGCTGAGCCATTTTTTTAAAAAAGATTTATTTATTTGTTATTTATACAGTGTTCTGCCTGCATATGTGCCTGCATGCCAGATAAAGGCACCAGATCTCACTATAGATGGTTATGAGCTACCATCTGGTTGCTGAGAATTGAACTCAGGACCCTTGGAAGAAGAGCCGGTGTTCTTAGCCTCTGAGCCATCTCTCCAGCCCTGAGACATCTTGTTGTACAGAAGCTCTGTCATTCTCTATCCTTTTCCTGCTTCTCATTGGTCATCATCCCTAGTTTATCATTGTATCTCTTCTGCTAGAAGGTCAGCTTCAGGCAGGGATGGCTGTTCCATGCAATGCACACAGCACCTGGCCAGTAGCTGAGGATCAATAAACATGGTGGAAAGTCTGAAGGACTAGAACTGAGTTGCAAAGGAAACCAAAAGTAGAGGACCTATGAAAATGAACATATAACACTGAGTGCAGGACCTCTCTTGGCATGCCAGAATTGCCAGAGCAGGTGAGGGGCATAGAGCAGAAGTCATGGCTAGGCTGCAGCTGAACCTTTACTACTAAACCGTTGGGGATGGTTTTTCCAAACTGTTTACAGATCTGTAAAGTATCTGGTATTTCTCTAAGGGGCTAGAGAGAGTCCATCCTTCTTAGGGTCCACCCTCCATGCCCTCTCAACGTTTCAAGCTTAGGGTGCCGTCTGTTTTCTGGCTGCCTTGATAGATACTCCAAGACCTGACTGCCCCCTCACTGTGCCTGCTCAGCCTCAGTTTCCTGCACAGCAGGGGCTCAAGCTGGCTTAGGCTACATACATAATTTATACTGCCTAATTAATGCAAAATCCAGGTGCAAGATGAGGTGGTACAGACCCTCGATCCCAGCTCTTGGGAGGTGTTGACAGGAGGGTCTTGAGTTCAACATAGCAACATAGCAAGTTTGAGGACAGCCTGGGCTATACAGGGACCATCTCACACAAACAATAATACCTAAATAAACAGGTGACTTAATTAGTTAAAATAAAGCCTCTTGTTCAAACAACAGGAAAGAATTATTTAGGGCTGGAGAGATGGCTCAGAGGTTATGAACACTGGCGGTTCTTCTGAAGATCCTGAGTTCAATCCCCAGCAGCCACATGGTGGCTTATAACCATCTACAGTGAGATATGGTCCCTCTTTTGGTGTACAGGCAGAATGTTGTATAAATAATAAATAAAACAAATCTTAAAAAAAAAAAAAAGAATTATTCAAGGTACAAAAGTAATAAGCCAGTCTTGTTTGTGCACTAAAGAGACAAAGGCAAGAGGATCTTAAGCTTGAGGCCGCTTTTGTCTATACAGCCAGATTCTGGTCGGGGATAGGGGGAAAAGCGTAAACATGAAGTGTTTCCATTCTTCCATCACTCTTTCAACTTATACCGCTTTCAGTTTGCTATTTAATGTCATTCTAAATAAAAAAAAAAAAATAAAGCCAAGCATGGTGACACTATGATCCCAGCACTTGGGAGACAGATGTCGGAGGACCGCTGCCAGTTAGTTCAAGGCTGCATAGAGATGATCTGCTAAGGCCAGGCCACATAGTAAGGCCCGGACTCAAAGAGAAACAGATTAAAGAGAGAGAGCAGGGTGTGGTGGGGCACACCTGTAATCTCAGCACTGGGGGAGGCAGAGGCAGGAGGATCGAAGTGAGTTCAAGGCCAGCCTGGGCTGCAGAATGAGTCCAGGACAGCCAAGGCTACACAGAGAAACCCTGTCTGGAAACAAAATAAAACAAAGAAGAAAGAAAGGAAGGAAAGAAAGAAGAAAAGAAAGAAAAGGAAAACTTAAATCATGAGCGAGAATTTTTTTATTCGTTGTCATAGTGTGCAACGTCAGGCTTGTTTGTGGTGCTGAGGGCTGAACCCAGCCTTGTACGTGCTAGAAAGCTGCTCTACCACTAAGTTACCTCTCCAGACCGTTTTGTTTACGTTTTTGTTGTTGTTGTGGGCTGGTTGTTTGGTTGGTTTGGTTTTCAAGATAGGGCTTCTCTCTGTAGCCCTGGATGTCCTGGACTTACTGTGTAGACCATGCTGGCGTCCAACTCAGAGATTCTCCTGCCTCTGCCTCCCAAATTGTACCAGTACTCCTGCCTACTTTTTTTTTTTTTTTTTGAGGTGGGGATCCACTTTCAGGATATACATTTATTTATTGTAAGACAAGACCTATCTCAATTTAAAAAAAAAAATAAAAAACACACAACACTTTGAAAAATCAAATTATTAAGAATTCAAGGCAGTGACATCAAGGCATTGACCCCGAGGGGCCCATGGTGACCTCACAGGTCTCACATTTTGTTGGAGAACTCTGGCATCCTGGTCCAGCTTCCTGAGCTACACATAGCTGGGACAGCCTTGGAGCAAGGGTCAGACCCTGCCAGCCTCACTCTCTGGTTGTTCCTCTCTCTGCTAAGCAGCCACAGAACTTTCTATTTCCTTGAGCAAACCCTGCCACCACCACCCCCCCCCATGGGCCTCAGACTGTTGCTTTCTCTACCCCAGTGGCTCCCAAAGTTGATCTCTGAACCAGCAGCAGCAGCAGCAGCAGCAGCACCTGAAGTGGTTAAATATGTAATTTCCAGGTTTGGGGATTGTAGCTCAGTTGGTAGAATATTTGCTTAGCATGAAGCTGTGAGCTCCACCCTCAGCACCATAGGAGCCAGGTGTGGTGGCCCACTCATATAATCCTAGCATTTAAGAGGTAGAGGCAGAGCCAGGAGCATTGGAGGACATGGTCATCCTTGACTACATAGTGAGTTTGAGGGTAGCCTGGGCTACATGAGACAAAAAAAAAAATATGACATGACCATGATGACGAAGTGCTTACCTAAGGGTGCCTGAGGGAATAGAAATGTGAGGCCCACAGACCCGGAAGAGGATTGATCTGACCCCAGACCATCTGCCTTGCAGGTATAGCCTGTACACCCGCACCTGGCTCGGGTACCTCTTCTATCGACAGCAGCTTCGGAGGGCTCGGAATCGCTATCCCAAAGGCCACTCCAAAACTCAGCCCCGCCTCTTCAATGGTAAGGCTCTGGCTGCCCCTGGTCAGCAACCTGCTCCCTCTGCTCAGGCTCCTGCCTACTACTGTTCTCCTCCTCCCTACCCCTTCAATGAACTCCCCGCCCCGCCCCGCCCCGCCCCGCCCCAGCCTCTCTGTCTACCTCTCCCAGGAGTGAAGGTGCTTCCCATCCCTGTCCTCTCGGACAACTACAGCTACCTCATCATCGACACCCAGGCCGGGCTGGCTGTGGCTGTGGACCCTTCAGACCCGAGGGCTGTGCAGGTGAGGAGAGACGACGCAGCGGTACTGGGAGACACTGGGGGAGGGGGGGGCGGGGATGCCTGCTTCTCTTGCCAGACAGGGCCTAGCTTTGGTTCGCTTGCCTAAGGGATATGCTCCTGCATATGCGTGGGCATCCCTCACACGTACAGAACACACCACCACCCCCACCCTTAGAGCATGGCCAGACGGAAGCAGAGCAGAGCAGAGGGTGGGTGTTCTGGCCTGGGATTGTGGGTCCTGGCAGTTTCCAGTCTGCCTCTGATCCTCTTTGTTGCCCTGGTAGACATTATTTTTTTCATTTTTATTTACATAGTCATTTGTTATTTGGGGGGAGGTGTTTGTTTTGTTTTGTTTTCTTCCTTTTTCATCCTCTTTCTCCTCCCACCTCTCTTTTTGAGACAAGAGTTTCACTAAGTAGCCCTAGCCAGTCTGGAACTCACAGAGATCTGTCCCCTTCCTCCTCCCCAGTTCTGGGATTAAAGGCATGTGCCACCATGCCTGGCATAACATTTTTTATCCAATTGTATGTGCATGGTGTATGAGTGGTTTGTGTGCCCCAGCATGATTGTGGAGATCAGAGGACACTGCGTGGTTATCTCATTCCACTTTTATGAGGGCCCTGGGGATGGAATTCACCTGCTGAGCCATCTCACCAGCCCCAGACCCTGTCTCTTCCCTGACCTCTCTCAGTACTTGGCCCTTTCTGCCTCTCCCTTCACATTCTCTCTCTCTCTCTGCCCTGTGTGTGTGTTGTGTAGTACTGGGAATAGAAGTTTTTTCTTTTATATTTCTCTTATATTTTGAGCCTTTCATGGATGAGCCATCTCTTCAGCTATCTCTGAACCAACTCCTGATGTCCCCTTTCTCCTCCCTATTCCGTGACCTCCCTCTCTCCTCCCTGCCCTACCCTCATGCTGGGTCTCTGCTCTTCCAAGACCCCTTTGCCAGCTTCTTCACTCCCTAGCCCATCTCTTGCCTTTCCTTCATCTCTCCGGCTGTCTTTTCCACCCAATCCCAACTAGACACTTAGCATGTCTTTTTCTGTACACTGTTCCCACCCTCAGCACCTCTTCTGTCCCCCACCAGGCTTCCATTGAAAAGGAAAGAGTTAACTTGGTTGCCATCCTCTGCACCCACAAGCACTGGTAAGGGACTGGAAACGGTCGGGCTATAGCTGCGGGGTCCCTAATCATGGCACTTAGCAGCTTGAGCCCTCGGGAAGGCAGGCATTGCTGTGCTCCATTCACAGGCATGTAGTAGGTATTTACAGAATGAGCATCTGGTTAGTTGGCAGAAGGCCCAGGGTACAGAGGACGAAATGTTAGGTGGGTGTGGTCAGATTCCCGTGGGGGAATTTGAAGATGACAACTGGAGCTGAATGAGAGTCCAGGAAGGTCAGTTGGAATTGGTCATGGGAGCATAGCAAGCTGAGGGGTGACTTAAGCAGAGAAATGACTCCAACAAAAGCCAGGGGGTACTTTAGGGAAGGAGGGAGTCCAGGTTCAGTTGCCTTAGGTTCCCTGTGCTCATCTCTGCCATCCCACAGGGACCACAGCGGAGGAAACCGTGATCTCAGCCGGCGGCACAGGGACTGTCGAGTGTATGGGAGCCCTCAGGATGGGATCCCCTACCTTACCCAGTAAGTCCCTGACCCAAACATCAGGCGCATCTCCTACCTCCTGCCTTCTGTCTTCCAGGGTGTCAGCAGCTGGATCTTTGGCGACACCCCGCCGAGCCCCTAGCTAAGTGGAATCCATTTAAAAAGACTGGCCATGTTTGCCCCAAGATGACCCAGCCATGGTCAGAAGAGCCCTTGGTCACCTGTGCTTCTCCCTGTTGAGAAAGTCCCTTTCCTATAAGTCACCCCAGCCCTTAAGCCTGGGGTGGTAACAGTGATCAGCAAGACACAAGCTTGAATTCTCTCTCTTCCCTGTTTTGTGCCCCAGCCCCCTGTGTCATCAAGATGTGGTTAGTGTTGGGAGGCTTCAGATCCGGGCCCTGGCCACCCCTGGCCACACTCAAGGCCATCTGGTGTACCTGCTGGATGGGGAGCCTTACAAGGGTCCTTCCTGCCTCTTCTCAGGGGACCTGCTCTTCCTCTCTGGCTGTGGTGAGTTTCTGCAAAAGAGACAGGAATAGGGAGAGGAGGGAGAGACAAAGGCCAGAGCAGCCACTATTCCATGTCACACTTGGAAATGTTGTTTTCCAACAACCCAATGGCTCATTCGTAGTCACCTCAACTCGTGCTGCCTGTTTGTGTTCTCAAGATTCTCAGAGGGGGTGGACCTGAGGAGAGGCTCCTGTTAAGCAAAGACCCCCATAGGGCACTAATTCCACTGGGTGGGGCCCGTCTCCCCAAGACAGTGACCGAAAAGAAGAGGCCATGGAGAGTTGAGAATACGTAAGTGAGAAGAAAGGACCATGGGTGGGTGATGACCCCAAGTCCTAGCCTGCAGAGTACCAGAAAGCAGCCAAGTCTAAGACTCTCTTAGTGGAAGGAGCATCTCTACCCACTACGCCTGGATCACAGGAACCCAGTCTGAAGACTCAGCAACCTTGCCCTCCACATGGCACTGTATGTGTGGGACCTCACACCAGTTCCATCGGAGAGAGTAGTTGGCCCAGCTCCCATGAGGAGGGAGCAGATGTCTTGGGATGGCCAGGCAGGGCTCAGTGGAAGGACTGCTAGCTGAACAAAGCTGCCTCATCTGGTTCTCCCCCTCCCTCCTTGTATACCTTATACCATATTGTGTCCTCCTTGACCGCCTGATCCCAATGCAGGACGGACCTTCGAAGGCACAGCAGAAACCATGCTGAGCTCACTGGACACTGTGTTAGACCTGGGGGATGACACCCTGCTGTGGCCTGGTGAGGTGCCCCTCCCCCTCCTCCCAACCCCGTGCTTTGCCTGGCACCAGGACCCTCCCAGCCCCTCACTTTCCTAGAGACTAGCAAGCTCAGTTCATGGCCCAGAGGTACTGACCTCCCTCCTGGAATATGGTACTGGCTATGTGATGTCCATGCCTCTCATGCCACTGTCCCCTCCCCCAGCCAGCCTTTGGCCTTTTGGGAGCCCTGAGGGCTCAGAGTCCTGGAGTGATATTTAGTTGTTCAGATAATTATGGTCAAGGCCCCATAGTAACCTCTGCTTATGTGAGAAAACAGTAAATCTGGTCCATGTGTACCCATTGGCCTATATTTGATACAAATAGTCACAGATATCTTATTTAATCCACAGAACACATAATCATTTATGTAACAAATACTGTATGCAGCTATCACTTACTAGGCTCTGACACACACAGAAACACACACACACCACCAACTCTTCCCAAATTCAACTCCTCTTTGCTAACCGTCCAACTTCAAATTTTCCTTTCTTCTTTCTTTCTTTTCTTTCTTTTCTTTCTTTCTTTCTTTCTTTCTTTCTTTCTTTCCTTCTTTTTCTTTCTTTCTCCTTCCTTCCTTCCTTCCTTCCTTCCTTCCTTCCTTCCTTCCTTCCTTCCTTCCTTTCTTTCTTTCTTTCTTTCTTTCTTTCTTTCTTTCTTTCTTTCTTTCTTTCTCTTTTAATTTTTTCCTGGCATTGTTCTCTTCTCCATATGACAAAACTGTAGCTTGGAGGTGGATGGGTGCCAGGTCATAAGTGAAGCCATGCTGGGCAGGGTAAGAGGCTAACCATAGATAGCCTCACAGCTCCAGAGTCAGTGATTTTCCCTATAAGCCCAAACTGCCTCTGCCTCCCCTCCCCACACCCCAGTAACAGTGCCTGTGGCTGAAAAAGCAGCTTTGGTGTTGGGGTTTTCTGAGAGCCCTGCCCTCCCCTCTGACTGCTGGGTAGCTGTGGGCCTGGGCCTTGGAGTAGGAAGGACCTCATGGCCCATCTCTCTCTGCCCTGCTTCCTGGCCCCCGTGGCTGTGGCTAGGACATGAATATGCAGAAGAGAACCTAGGCTTTGCTGGCGTGGTGGAGCCTGAGAATCTCGCTCGTGAGAGGAAGATGCAATGGGTGCAGAGGCAACGGATGGAACGCAAGAGCACAGTGAGGCCTGGAGGATGGGATGGGATGGGATGGGATGGGATGGGATGGGATGGGATGGGACGGGATGGGATGGAAAAACTGGCTCTTATCTAACTAGTGCCTATCACTGCGCAGCCTGGGCCTGCAAGCACTTTCCAGAGCTCTGACCTCTTACCCCAGGAAGTTAGGGGCTAGGACATCCCTGTATTGGGTCCTTTTTCTAGCTTCTACCCATCCCCGTGCCTCTTGCTCTGTAGTGCCCATCCACCCTGGGAGAGGAGCGTGCCTACAACCCATTCCTGAGAACCCATTGCCTGGCCCTACAGGAGGCTCTGGGGCCAGGGCCAGGCCCCACCAATGACGATGGCTACTCCCGGGCCCAGCTCCTGGAGGAGCTGCGTCGGCTGAAGGACATGCACAAGAGCAAGTGAAACCCCTAGCCCACCCCAGTCCAGGCGGCCCCTGCAGAGGGGAGGCCACCCACCACCCACACCTCGCCACCCTCTTCATCACTAACACCACCACCGCCGTCGGTGCCCTAGGCAGCACCGTTCCTCCAGACTGTTCAGGGAAGGCAGAGCCCAGGCAGTGGGACCTGGAGGAGGAAGCAGTGGAAGGCTCGGAGACCCCACACACAGTACAGCTGGTGTTTAGGATTAAAGGAAATGAGTACCTGGGACATCTCCAGATTCTGCCGCCTCAGAGTTTGCCTCCCTTCCCCCACTTGTGGACCAATAGCCAGATCATGAAGGCTGCTGTTGGCTCCCCCTGCAGAGACCACACTCCCACAAGGAACCCTACAACCCCGGAAAGCAGGGTCCTGACCAGGCTAGTCTGTTCTCCACCTTCCTCCATCCAGGGTTGTCGGAGAAGCTCACCCAGCAAAATGATCGAAGGTGTGGTGCCTGGAAAAATGGTCACCAACAGGGGCAGCCAGACTCTGGGCGACTGAAACTCAGCCCCATCCCACCCACCCTGCTAAGACATTGCCAGGAAGAGCCATTCCTAAGAACACCCAAGGGCTGGAAGCCTGGCTCTAGCTGATTCTGCCTCAGGCTGGAGGGAAAGGTTCCTGATTGCCAAGGACTCTTCTGCCTCAGGCCTAGGAGACACAGGATGCTGGGATCCAGAGCCATACACCATGCACATCTGTCTGGGTCTACCACTGGCCTCTGCCCCTGCCCCGGGTCACCAGGGCTTGCCTTCCCAGGGGAGAGTGAACTGGGGTCTGCCTCAGAGATCTGTTTTCTCCTTTTAGCCTTTGTTCTTAGGATTCCCTGCCTGCCTTCTGTCTTACTTAACCTCTCTTGCTTTACCCTCAACTCTTTTCTCCTTTAAGTCATTTCAAGGCTGACCTTTTGGTCCTGGTACTCATCTGGCTCTACAGTTTGCCAAGAACCTTCATTCCCATGTGATTTCCCACTGGAGCCAGGGGCCCCGTGCTGGCAATGTGTAGAAAGCAGAGGTCTCATAACAGGGAGCTCAAGTGAGTGGCAGCTTCCAGGACCCCAGGCCTGGGCATACCCCATTGCTCACCACTCTTTCCAAATCTGCTTGTCCTCTGGTCTCAGGTCAAGGACCCTTTGGGACCACAGTAAGGAGCACTGTGGTCATTTAGCAGGCACACCTTGGGTTAGCCAGGAGCCACAGCTTTCTGTGTCAGAGCCTTCCCTCAGGCTGGGCAATGCCCTCTGTTGTTCCTCTGAGATGCCCCTGCCCTCAGTTTCCCTTTTCATCCGGCCTCGGCTGCCTTCTCCAGCCCCAGCCTTTGGAACTCACTCTAGCAATACACCAGACTAGCTAGTCTTTCTGCCCCCTAAACACATGCAGTCTCATGCCTTTGTGCCTTCGCTCACGCTGTTTCTTCAGCTGGAATGCCTTCCCGCTCCTCCGGCCTCCTCTGCCTGGCAAACACCTATTAGCCTGTCCCAGGCCCCTCCTCCAGGAAGGCACCCCTCACCCCTCCCTTCCAGGCTACCTCTGCACCTTGTAAATGCTTCCCCCATGGCTCCTATCACACCACACCGTATCTTACTTGTTTACATGTTTGTCTCCCCTTCTAGACTGTGAATCCTTCAGGGCATGGACTGTACTTATGCATCTCTGTATTTCTGCGCCTAGCACGGTGCCTGGCACACAGTAGGCGCTCAATAAATGTTGAATGAATGATTTAACCACGGTCTGAGCGTTCTTCTGTGTTAGCTTCTCCCCTGTCAGGCTTTCTCCTGACAGGACACAGATGGTCTCCAGAAAGTCCAGCCTCACATGCTACCGGTTCATCAGGCCTAGTTCCAGGAATGGAATTGTGCTGGACCACCTTAGGGCATGTAAGCACACCAGAATGGGCTCCATCAGTCCCAACACTATCACGTTGAACACAGAGGTGGAGAGACTCAAACAGCAGATGCCCCGACACTATAAACAATGCCCCAAAGCCCAAGCCCAAGCCTCCAGCAACGTCCCCCAGAGGCTGTGGAGCACTGGATAGGAAGGACAGAAGCAGCCACTTTGAAAAGGGCTACGTCAGACTTCTGGGACTATGCTTTTAGGAGGGAAAACAGAGGAGAAGACACAGACTGACCCCAAAGGTGTTTGAATAACACACAATCCCAAAAATTACCAGTGTCGTGTTTCGTTTCTGTTCATTCCTTTTCCTGAATGGCAGAAGTCACATACACACGGAAGTCATGTGAATGTCTGTATGTGCGTGTGCATGTGTGAGTGTGTGACTAGAGAGCTGGAACCATCTTGATTTCTGAAGCTCTGCTCGCACAGCAAAATCACTGAAATCAAGTGGAAGGCCTGGCATGGGAGAGCACACCTTTAATCCCAGCACTGGAGAAGAGGCAGGTGGGTGTCTGTGGTCAGCCTGGACTACATAATGAATTCCAGGCCGGCCAGAGACACATAGAAAAACCCTGTCAATGGAAAGAAAGAAAAAAGAAAGAGAAAGAAAGAAAGAGGCCAAGAGTGGTGTTGCACACTTTTAATCCCAGCACTTGGGAGACAGAGGCAGGCAGATCTCTCTGAGTTTGAGGCCAGCCTGGTCTACAGAGTCTAGGACAGCCAGGGCTAGCTATACAAAGAAACCCTGTCTAGAAAAATTAAAAAAAAAAAATAAAACTGGTAGTAATAATAATAATAAAGGAAGAAAAACAAGAAGGAAAAAAGGACCGACCACGTGTGACAGCACAGGACCATAATCCCAGCCCGTGGAGGGGGTGGGGAGAGGCAGGGGAATCTCTGTGAGTTTCAGGCCAGACTAGTCTATATAGTAAGTGCCAAGCCAGCCAGGGCTACAGAGTGTGTCCATGTCTCAAACAAAGAAACAAATAACAAGGAAAAACAATTCAGGGGCTGAAAGTGTAGCTCAAGCAGAATGCTTGCCAAACATCCAAGAATCTGCAATATCTCATGAGCCAAGCATGGCGATCGACACTCAGCACGTAGGAGATAGAGTCAGGAGGGTCAGGAATCCCACACGATCAACAGCTCTATAAGATGTTCTGGTGCCCTCCTCTAGCATGCAGCTGTACCTGCAGGCAGAACACTGCATAAATAAATAAATAAACAACAAACAAACAAATAGATAGATAGATAGATAGATAAATGAATGAATGAATGAATGAATGAATGGTTTTTTGTTTTTTGTTTTTTTTAATGGCCAGTGGCTGCCTAGGGCCACACAGAGAAACCCTATGCAAAACGAACAGCAAGATGATAAAGACACTTGCCACCAAGCCCGACAACCTGAGTTTGATCCCCAGGACTCACATGGCACAAGGAGAGAACTGACTCCCAGGGCTGTCCTCTGATCTCCCAGTACATGCAGTGTCGCGCACCCCTCCCCCCACACTAACACATACCGCAAAGGTAAGAATTTTAAAATGCAATATGGAGGCCAGTGAAGAGCATCATCCTAACAGAGTATGACTTGCTGCAACCCTTCAGTGTCTAAGGCTAGCTTATGTCAAGAACTTCGCGGAGTGTTGGCTGTTATCATGTTGAACTGTTTGTATTGAATATAACATCAACTCCCACATGCACAAATGGGACTCAAACGGCCACAGCAAATACACATGTCAAATGTATGAGTCATGCGGCCACTCTTTTTTCAAGTTTGTTTCCAATCACCTCAGACTCTATTGTACCAGGAGTTTCCATTCAAGGTATCGTCTATCACCCATTCATTCATCTAGCACCTGTTGCTTTCTGCTGCCTCAATTCTTTTTCTTTTCCTTTTGTTTTGTTTTGGTTGTTTTTCTAGACAGGGTTTCCCTGTGTAGTCTGGGCTGTCCTGGACTCACTTTGAGTAGACCAGGCTGGCCTCGAAATCACAGAGATCTGCCTGCCTCCACCTTCCGAGTGCTGGGATCAAGGTGTACCACCACCACCCAGCTTTATTTTCATTTTTTGAGACAGAGTCTGGTGCAACCCATTGGCCTCAAGCTAAATATGTATCTGAGGGTGACCTGGGCACCTGATTCTCCTGCCTAGACCTCCCAAGTGCTAGAATCACAGCCAAGCGCCGAAACCCAGCTACTGCCTGAACGCACAGACTCAAGTCTGACGGCCTCTGGTCAGGTCTTGGCTCTGTCCACAATTAGCTATGTGATGTCTGGAAGCCGTTAGCCTCTTCTTTTAGAGTTTTCCTATCCATAAAGTTGAGACAATAAAGCATGCCGGCCAAGCATGGTAGTGCGTACCTGCAACCTGAAAACCTGGGCGGTAGAGGCAAAATAATGACAAGCTCTAGACGAGATTTCTCTGTGTAGCCCTGGCTGTCATGGAACTCTGTAGGCAAGGCTGCCCTCAAGTTCACAAAGATCTACCTGTCTCTGTCCCAAGTGCTGGGTTTCAAGGTGTCTGCCTCCGTCATCACCGCCTAGCTGTAAGAACTTACCTTAGAGGGGGGCGGGGGGGGGGGGAAGTCTTTAGTCCTAGCACCCAGGAGGCAAAGGCTCAAGGATCTCTGTGAGTTCAAGGTCAGTCTACATAGAGAGTTTCAGGACACCCAGGGCCCCATAGAGAACCCTTGTCTCAAACAAACGAACGCCGTAGATTTGATCCCCAGCACCTTAGAGACTGGGAACAAAGGCACACACCTGTTGTCCCAGCACTCGCTTGGGAGGCAGAGGGAGGAAGGGCAGAAACTTAAGGTCGTTCTCCGCTACCTATTAAGTTTGAAGCCAGCATGGGCTATATAAGAGCCCGTCTCAAAACAACAAAACCAAATAGAGAAAGTACCACGGGCCAGGACAGTTTGACAAATAAGATAGTGTCCACAAAGGCCATTAAAATGGTGTCTGGCTGAGGACAGATGGTTTAAACATTTAAGCAGTAGAAGGCCTGCCAGTGGTAGTGCACATCTTTAATCCCAGCACTCCGGAGACAGAGGCAAGTGGGTCTCTGTGAGTTCAAGGCCTGCTTGGTCTACATAGTGAGTTCCAGGACAGGACAGTGAGGACTACACAGAGGATTTTTTTTAAAGGCAATGAATGCTGGGAGATTGAACCACTGGAGGCCAGAAACTATCCATTTTAGAACTATAGCTCACAAATATAATTGTACAACCTTGAAGTGAAGTTCCAGGACAGCCAGGGCTGTTACACAGAGAAACCCTGTTTCAAAAAACCAAAAGAAGGGGCTAGAGAGATGGCTCAGAGATTAAGAGCTCTGGCTGCTCTTCCAGAGGTCCTGAGTTCAATTCCCAGTAACCACATCTATAATAAGATCCGATGCCCTCTTCTGGAGTGCAGGTGTACATGCAGGCAGAATACTATATACACAATAAATAAATCTAAAAGAAAAGAGTTTGCTATGCTTCTAAGTGCTATCATCATCATCATGCCTACATGTGCCACCTATGAGGGTTTAGAGCCCCATGAACTGGACATAAGAAGACAGTGTTGCAAGATGACAAGGCAGCCAAGCTCACAGATGAGCCACGTGTCCTCTGCAGAGTGTAGGCTGCTCTGCTTCCAGATTGCCTAGCTGGCTGAACGTTGCAGCTTGCAGGAAAGAAGATGAACAGCACATGGTGGGCCTAGGAACTAGAAAAACAATTTCTACTGAATGCGCACAGCTTTCTCACCATCATAGGAGCATTGAATGGGCTGGGTGGTGGTGGTGTGTGTCTTTAATCCCAGCACTTAGGAGGCAGAGGCAGAGGCAGATTTCTATGAGTTTGAAGGCAGCCTGGTCTACAGAGCAAATTCCAGGACAACCAGGGCTAAACATTGAACAACAAAAACAAACAAACAAACAAAGGCAATGGCCAAGCACAGTGGCGCACATCTGTAGTCCCAGTACTCAGGAGGCAGAGGCAGGTGGATCTCTGTGATTCGAGGACAGCCTGGTCTAGAAAGCAATCTAGGACAGCCAAGGCTACACAGAGAAGCCCTGTCTCGGCAAACCAAAGAAAAAAAAAAAAAAAAAAAAAGGAACGAATGGAAGGCTGAGCCATGGGAGGTTGGAAGTCAAAGGTCAGTCAGAGGTTGGAGACTTAGGACTATAGCTCACAAAGATAATTGAACCTTAAAGTGGAGTCTGTGTGGCTTTAAGCTCCTGATCTTCCTGCCTCAGAGTCATGGGCTACCATTCCTGTCTGAGTCCACTGCCTCAGTTATTGTTATATTTTATGTGTTTGGGTGTTTTGTTGGATGTATGTGTGTTGTGTGTGTCACATATGTTTCTGGTAACAACAGAGGCCAGAAGAAGGTGTTAGATCCCACAGAACTGGAGACAGATGTGAGTCATCATGTGGGTGCTGGGATTCAAACCCAGGTCCTCTGGAAAGGCAGCCAGTGCTCTCACCTGCTGAGACACCTCTCTAGCCCCTTCTTCATAGTCTGAAAGTTACTTCCAAGGAAGTTGTAATAACCCGCTTTCCCCCTGCCTCTTACGAATGTCAAAGGTGCCCTCTGCTGGACAATCTCTCAAGTTTGGGCTGAGCCCCTGAGCCTGACAGTCTAGGTTGGGTAAAGCGGGTTGATTGCCCTTTAAGAGGCAGCTTCTGGTTGCCATGGAGACAACTAGCCACAGACTGACTGGCCTCAATCAGCATGTCTTCCAAAGTTTCTTCTGCAGGTGGAGAATGGACTGCTGATCTGTGGGAAGAGGGAGAAGGGATATTTCTCCCTTACAGCCCACGCATGGTCTTAGTAAATTCAGC